ATTGTGCAAGATATTGCATGCTTATATACAGTCTTTGTTGCTCCAGAGTCTCTTATTTGTAGGCTTTCTACTGAGAACTTCTCTCCCTGTGTCCCCTGGGAATACAGTCCCTCCTCTGTTCTTCTGGTACCTTCCTGTGACAAAAATTAGCATGTCTTTTTCCTATTCAGCCATCTTGGATCTCTCCTTCCTCATTTTCTCCTTTATAATAATACAAGTTTTATGAAGTGAACGGATTTTGTTCATTGCTAGATAGCTTGAAATAATGTTCCAGGCATACAGAAGATGCTGAATAAATATTGGTTGATTGAATTAAAATCTTTGCCAGTCCTCTGAGAACCAAAGGGCTACTCCTGACACCTAGAAATCCAAATAAATGACTGTCTGTTGTTTGTCTGCTGTTGTTACCACTGTTGTGTAATATGAAAATTTTGCCTCCTACTAGGGAGTTACTGAGATCTCCAAACACATAAAGAGGCAAAGACACTTGCAGGACACAGGCTGCAGGGTTATGGTCTTGTTCTTATCTGTGTCTGAATCTTCAGGACAAAACTCACACTGATTCCTCAGTAAAAGAGGTAGCACCTCAACAACATTCTCAACATCCTCTGCATAGGGAGGCCCGTCTCCATGAGAAGCCCCTTCTCCCTACAGTTAATCTTAAATTTGTTTGGGATTCTGATATCTGTTTTCCTATTGTCTGGCCAATCTTTATATGATCTAGACAAATCTTTCTTCTATCATTACTTTTCCTAACTGAAACGTTCCCACCAGAACAAAACAAGAACAACCCCCAAACAAAAACCCAGTCATAGTTATGCACCATTGGTAGAAGAAAGGTCTTATAATAGAAGTGTTTTCAATCATCTGGCTGTAATTCTTCAGGCAGGACTCCTGACCCAACTTTCGTAGAAACAGAGAAACTGCTTCTGAAGTCCAGAGAGAAAACAAATACATCTCCCCTATAACTTAAAAAAAATTAAAACATAAACTTCAAATATTCACAAGGGGTGCTAAATGCTTTCTCCAGGTCATGTGCCCTCAACTTCCTATAGAATCTTGAAATTTTGAAGCTCACTTTTTGATGTGCCAGATTTGCTTTCATTAGAAGATTGCTTTTGGAGTTTTGTAAGTGGATTGAGCAGTAAGGGTGCTTATATCTGTTGGTGTGAATGAGAGTCTTCTTGGAAAAGGGCTCCTGATGCACTAAAACCCCAGTCTTGGGCTAGAATACCTTTTCCCCCAATCCATCTTTCCAACTTTTGAGTGGTAAGCCAGGCACCAAAACTGAAACCATTGGCTTTGCAAATAGAGTAGTGTGATGTCTGAAGGGTAGTATGAGAAGCAGTGTTCAGGAAGAATGCATGGAGTGTCATAGAGCTGACTAGAGAAGGATCCACACAGCCTAGTACTTGGAGCATAGTAGGCACACAATAGATGTTGAATGAATAAATAGAAGAATAAATGAGTATGGAGTCTGGGACTTCTTGAGTCAACTGCAACCCAAGGCTCTGTATGGATGCTACTTTCCTTTTCTCATTTTTACTATCATTTGCAAAACGTTTCTTAGTGTAGTTTAGTGAGTTGAGGCTAGGAAGGGAGGACAAGTATTCTGTTGATTGGATGAGGATGTTTAGGCAATATGTACCTAGAACAGGAGGTGTGAAGACACATAAATGATGTTGATTTTTGTAGTTTGTCAATGAGTTTGTCTTTATGCTTGAATGAAGTAGACTGACACACAGAATATATAGCTATAAGACTAGTTTCACTTGATTGATAATGTGACTGTCACAATAGGAATGTTTTAATTTTTATGACTTTGCATGGATTTCAAGATGTCTTCAGTTACTATTTTTTAAGATGTGTTTATTTACTTGAAAGGCAGATCCAGAGGGAGAGAGAGAGAGCAAACGAGAGAATCTTCCATCCACTGGTTCATTCCCCAGCTGGCCACAATGGCTGGAGCTGGGCCGACCTGAAGCTGGGAGCCAGGAGTTTCCTCTGGGTCTTCCACATAGTTGCTGGGGCCCAAGCACAAGGGCCTTCTTCAACTGCTTTCCCAGGAGCATTAACAAGGAGCTAATTGGAAGTGGGCTAAAAGTGGAGCAGCTGGTACTTGAACCAGCACCCATTTGGCATGCAAGCACCACAGGAGGTGGCTTTACCCACTAAGCCACAGTGCTGGCCCCTTAATTATTTTTATGTATTTAATATTTATCTGATGGATATACTCATCTTGCTTCTGTTTTTTTCCTTGGATTTTCTGTTCACCTCAATGAACAAAATATATCAAGTTGCTTATTTATTTTATTTTTAAAGATTTTATTTATTTATTTGAAAGACAGAGTTACAGAGTGAGGTAGACATACACACAGAGAGAGAGGTCTTTCTTCTTCTGGTTTAATTCCCAAATGGCTGCAATGGCTGGAGTTGAGCCAATTTGAATCCAGGAGCCAGAAGCTTCTTCCGGGTCTCCCATACAAGTGCAGGGGCCCAAGGTTAGGGTTAGGGTTAGGGTTAGGGTTAGGGTTAGGATTAGGATTAAGGACACAGCCTGTCTTCTACTGTTTTCTGGCCATCACAGATAGTTGGATTGGAACTGGAGCAGCCAGGACTTGAACTGGTGCCAACATGGAATGCTGGAATGAAGGTGGCAGCTTTACTCGCTATGCCACAGTGCCAGCCCTAAGCTTCTTTTTTAACAAAGGAAAGAAGTTGTTCCTCTCTCTCTGTATATAATATAAACATACTTCCAAGAGGAGAAAAAAAATAAAATCAATCAGAATCCAAGTTTGTGCCCAAAATACCACAAAGAATTATATCAAACACAGAAACTCTGGTGCAGAAAAAGAAACAATCAACACGAAAGAGACTTCTAATAGAATGGGAGAAAATATTTTCTAGCTGTTAATCCTTAAGCCACAGAAATAGTAAAATCCTGTTATTTGCAGCAGACAGGATGGATGGAAGCAAAGGACATCATGTTAAGTGAATCAAGTCAGACACAAGAAGATAGTACCATAAATCAGCCTTTATTTGTAGAAGCTAAAAATCTCAGTCTGCATACAGAGTAGTGATTATTAGAGGCTAAGAAGGGTGGGCAGTGGGAGATATAGGGAGTTTGGAGAGCAGCTACCAGATCAGAGTTATATTGAGGGAATAAGTTGCTAGTGTTGTGCAGCATAGTTGGGTGGTTCACAGTAATCTTGAATGTATTTTATGAACAAAAAGAGGAAACAAACTTCAAGTCTCCAACCACAAAATAATGTCAAAGAAGGGAAAGTGTTGATTACCCTGCTTTGATCAGTACACATTGTGTTCATGTGTTAAAATGTCACACTGTAGCCCATAAATACATACAGTTTTTATCAATAAAATTTTTTTAAGAATGGGGTTTCCACGGATAAAATATTATTTATTTAAATCATCTTCCCCAAGAGATATCAGATAAATCAATCACACAGTGCCCACTAGAAAGCAGACCAAGAGTACTGCTGCCTAGTTAAGATGTCTATGAAATCAAATTCTCAAGATTAGCATGATACTGCTGCATAACAACTATTTCCATAGCTAGGAATGAAACCCGTGACTGTATTAGAATAGGATATTACTTACATTTTCCTTCTATTAGAGAACAGTATTTTAATGCTATGAGGAAGTAGGCCTGTCATGCCTCTTAAAGGCCAGCTCTCTGCAGGTGCAGCTGGGTTTTATTACTCTGTGTTTCCTCCCTGCAGAGCATACAATTCTTGGTACACAGTAAGTCTGTATTATTCCAATTTTTCCACTGGAAGACTATAAGACCAGTGTGAATTTGTAATCCTTGGGCCTTGGTAAGGTATACAGAAAATTTAGGAGCACTTCATGTGAGCAGGATATTTTTTCTGCCACTTTACTTTTAAAATTTGTTTTATGTTCTTTGTTTTAATTTTAAAAATAAAATCAAGGCTCTTGGAAGACGCGGCATTTTTACACTTTGGCTTTGAGTACCAGCTGATCTAGCATCACATATTATAGGGGTTATACATACCTTAGGCTAAGAAAATAGCTATGCAAAGTATTCAAGGAATACTTGTTGAATGAATAAATGACAGAAACTAAAGAGATGGGAGGAGATGTAGAGGTTAGGAATACAATCTTTGTAATTAAAAGCTTTCTTTGGTAGTATTCTTGATAGTAATTCTCTCAGACTTTTTTTTTTTTTGACAAACCAGTCATGATGACAAAGAAGTTCAACATATTTTTGTTATCTTTAAAAAAAACCCAATAGGTTTTATTTTATTTGTCAGGTTTTAGCCCACAGAAAAAAGTGAGTGGAAAATAAAGATATTTCCCCTATACTCCCTCTAATATCTAGCTTCCACACTATTGCCATCTACACCAGAATGAGACATTTGGTCACACAACCAACAAATACTAGCACATCATTGCCAGCCAGAGTCCGTAGTTTACATTCAGCTTCACTCTTGGTCTCTCTTTTAGGTTTTGACAAATATATATTGACATACAACTACCAATATAGCCTCATGCAGTACAATTTCACTGCCCTCAAAATCCTGTGTGTTCCACTTATATATTTCACCTATGCATTCTCCCTCACCCAAATGCTAACAGTCACTGATCTTTTAACTGTCTTATAGCTTTGCTGTTCCAGAATTCTATACATATACTTGGAATGATATAGTATAGAACATTTTCAGATTGGGCACAATTTAGTAATACACATTTAAAGTTCCCCATGTCTTTTTATGGTTTGTTAGCTCATTTATATTGGGCATGGACTAATAGTCTATTGTTTGGATATATCACAATTTATTTATTCATTCACTTACTAAAGGACATCTTTATTGCCTGAAAGTTTTGGCAGTTATTAACAAAACTGCTATTACCATTTCTGTGCAGTTTTTGTGAGCTCTATTTGGTCTATTTTCCCTTGCACTGAGTGGGAATCTAATATCCTGTAATTTCTCTGCATCTGTTTCTGATCTGTTTTCTAGTCCAACTTCATGTAACAACCTTGTGAGCATAAGAAGATGAACCATTAAGAAATTCCAATGGTAACTAATAGAGTACAAAAAATGTAATGTATAGGAGTGAAGCTAACATTTTGAGATTCAAATGATTGTTTACAGCCCTTGTATTTACTGTTGAGGAACACTATTTTTTCTTCTATTTGTTGAACTCTTTAGTTACTGTAGGATTAATCTTATGAGTATAAAGTAAACTAAAAGTAAATCATTGTAAAAATTAAGAGAGGGAATAGGAGAGGGAGGAGAAAGAAGGGTAGAAGTGTGGGCAGGAAAGAAGGAAGTATCATGTGTTCCTAAATATGTATATGTGAAATAGATGAAATTTGTTTACCTTAAATAAAATTAAAAAATAAAAAAGAAATTCCCTGGCTTTTCTATATTAGATTAGAGATCATCAATTTTGTCAATTTTTCTCATGTTGTAGATTTTTCAGCCATGTCAGTTTTCCTGTTACACACCTATCAGTGGACTCTTGTAAAAACAAAAGTGACCAGGGAGCAGATAAGGTTGGTCAGTCCCAGAGTGCAGATGACTGTCACTTTCTGTTCTGAGCAAAATATACTATAAATGTAAAGTATTTTCGTATTCTTTATCTTATAAAGTTTACTACCCAATTCACTGAAAAATTTGTATTTATTTTGTCAAACTTATTGTTAGGGTGGTTCTCCCTTTACTAGTCTTTCAGAGGATTTTTAGAACTTAAGAGCTAGATATTCTACAAATGGCTTTCAACCTTCCTCTTTTAAATTTTGGGTCATGTTTCCAGCTTATTGAGATATGTTTAATTCCTTTTGAAAATTGGCTCTTCCACCAAATATTCTCCATTAATCCTCATTTAAAATGTTGTTCTCAAGATAAAGGATAATCTATTTATGACAGAAATTGTGTAAAGAACAGATGAGCTAAAAGAAGAAATAAAGATGGTTCATAACTCATTACCAAAGAGATAAATATCATTGCCAGAGATATCTATGATTAGCATTTTAGTGTATCTCTACCTAGTCTCCTTCTCTATGCACATATGCATGTCCCTACATGCGCACATACACTACATATATATTTATTAAATTTACTATGTCATATAGCTTGTTTTAAAGTTTTCTTTTTTCTTTTTCTTTTTTTTTTGCTTTCAAACTTTTATTTAATGAATATAAATTTCCAAAGTACAGCTTATGGATTACAATGGCTTCCCCCCCATAACGTCCCTCCCACCCACAATCCTCCCCTTTCCCACTCCCTCTCCCCTTCCATTCACATCAAGATTCATTTTCGATTCTCTTTATATACAGAAGATCAGTTTAGCATATATTAAGTAATGATTTCAACAGTTTGCTCCCACACAGAAACATAAAGTGAAAAATACTGTTTGAGTACTAGTTATAGCATTAAATCTCAATGTACAGCACACTAAGGACAGAGATCCTACATGAGGAGTAAGTGCACAGTGACTCCTGTTGTTGACTTAACAAATTGACACTCTTTTTTATGGCATCAGTAATCACCCTAGGCTCTTGTCATGAGCTGCCAAGGCTATGGAAGCCCCCTGAGTTCACTGACTCTGATCATTTTTAGACAAGGCCATGGTCAAAGTGGAAGTTCTCTCCTCCCTTCAGAGAAAGGTACCTCCTTCTTTGATGACCCGTTCTTTCCACTGGGATCTCACTCGCAGAGATCTTTCATTTAGGTTTTTTTTTCCCCTGAGTGTCTTGGCTTTCCATGCCTGAAATACTCTCATGGGCTTTTCAGCCGGATCCGTATGCCTTAAGGGCTGATTCTGAGGCCAGAGTGCTGTTTAGGACATCTGCCATTCTATGGGTCTGCTGTGTATCTCACTTCCCATGTTGGATCATTCTCTCCCTTTTTGATTCTATCAGCTAGTATTTGCAGACACTAGTCTTGTTTCTGTGATCCCTTTGGTTCTTAGTCCTATCATTATGATCAATTGTGAACAGAAATTGATCACTGGGACTAGTGAGATGGCGTTGGTACATGCCACCTTGCTGGGATTGAATTGGAATCCCCTGGTATGTTTCTAACTCTACTGTTTGAGGTAAGTCAGCTTGAGCGTGTCCCGAATTGCACATCTCTTCCCTCTCTTATTCCCACTCTTACATTTAACAGCAATCACTTTTCAGTTAAGTTTCAGCACTTAAGAAGAATTGTGTATGCTGAGTGTAATAAGCCAATCCCAAAGGGACAAATACCACTTGTTCTCCTTGATAGGTGACAACTAACTGAGCACCAAAAAGGAAACCTGTTAAAGTGAAATGAACACTAGGAGAAACGGTGACTTGATCAGCCCTCACCATGACTGTTGATGAGTTTTATTTTTTCTTCACTTCACCCAAATTTTATTTGAAGTGTTTTTAAATTTGATTTTCTTAGTACCTCAAAAGCATTGTGCTGGTAATCACCAGCAAAGGTATTGCAGTTTAATGATCTTATCTTGTTTGGCAGTCACATTTTTCCAAATATTTTGCTATAATTAAAATAATTCTGGCTAAATCTTTGTAAAAATCCATGATTATTTTCTGAGGAAGTGGAACCATGCATCAAAGAGTAAGTAGAATTGTGAAAGATTTTTATATATTTTAGCAAATTGACTTCCAAAAAAGTTGTGTGATGAGTTAACATCACTATTACTTAGCTTTTTAAAAACTTGGTAACTACTCTTTTTGTTTGGCATTAATATTATTGATGAAAGTATTGAATAGGAGTCAATGACAAGATTTTGGAGTAAACTAGTAGGTCATTTTGCTTCAGATTTTATTAATTTGTCAATCAACACCTTTTTAAGGACAGTAGTTTTTTCAGTTGTATTGTCTGTTAAACACATTTCTTCATTTTTATCATTTAGATTTTTATAAGAAACTTTGCTGGATGTTTTGCGAAAGTAGAGACAGCCTAGTTTTAGTAAATTATGGTGCTTCCTACTGGTCACTACTTTGTCTAACATCACTGTCTAATAGAATGGTCTATAATGGTAGAAATTTCTTTGATTCATACTGTCCAATATGGAAACCACTATCTGTATGTGGTTATTGAGTATTGTGCTATTAATTACTTTGATTTCATTTTAAACAATGAGATATGACTGATGGTTATCATAGTAGACAGAACAGTTTTATGAAATCTGACAAATGATTTCTCAAGTACATATTGCATGATTTAATTGGAATCAATATTAAACTGAAAGATTCATGGTTAATGAAATACATGGATCCCTCCTTTTTCACTATATTTTTAATTGCATTTTTTTAAAAAAAGATTTTGTTTTATTTGAACATCAGAGTTACAGAGAGGCAGAAGCAGAAAGAGAGAGGAAGTCTTCCATCTGCTGGTTCACTCCCCAAATGGCCTCAAAGGCCTGAGCTGAGCTGATCTGAAGCCAGGAACCTGGAGCTTCCTCCAGGTCGCCCTCTCAGGTGCAGAGGCCCAAAGACTTGGGCCATCTTCCACTGCTTTCCCAGGCTATAGCAGAGAGCTGGATCAGAAGAGGAGCAACCAGGACTTGAACCAGCTCCCATATGGGATGCTGGCACTACGGGCTGTGGCTTTATCTGCTAAGCCACAGCGCCAGCCCCTACTGCATTTTTATAAACTATAGAACCTTGTAGAATTCAGTTCTTCATAATTTCTTAAAATGTGCTTACAGTGATTTTTGTGTGACCAGTTCATATCAACAAATTATTTTCATACTCTGGGATATAACTGAATCTAGGGATAAAATTTATTTCAAAGCAAGCTGCTTTAATTTCCTCTAAGATTTTCCTAGTGTGAACATCGCTGTTGGTAGGAAAAATGTAAGCAAAAGGAAATTTGAATTATTTTGTACTTTAGTTTTGATCCTTCATATTGTTCCCATCTTTTCCAAACAGTATGCTCTCCCCCTACTTATTCTTCTTAAATTTGATGTAGCTAACAGGGCCCTTCTTGTTGTCAATAACACTTGTTGTCAATAACAGCTCATTCTGGTTATAAGCATTTCTGATAGTGTATGTGTAGCTCTACACCACTCATTTTTTTTGCCTCTCCATATTATATGCTTTTAAAAATATTGATTTATTTATTTGAAAGGCAGAGTAACAGAGAGAGAGAGAGAGAGAGAGAGAGAGATGTCTTCCATTCGTTGGTTCATCACCCAAATGGCTGTATCAGCCAGAGCTGGGCTGTTCCAAAGCCAGGAACCTGGACCTTCTTCTTCTGAGTCTCCCATGTGGGTGCAGGGGCCCCAGGACTTGGGCCATCTTCTGCTGCTTTCCCAGGCCATAGCAGAGAGCTGGATCAGAAGTGGAACAGCCAGGTCTCGAACTGGCAGCCACATGGGATGCTGGCGCCACAGGCAGCAGCTTTACCCACTACAACACAGTGCTGGCATATTTTTTATTTCCTCTTGTGTGTGTATGTGTGTGTGTGTGTGTGTGGTGTGTATGAGCATTTTAAAATTTCAGTTTCAAATCCTGTTTCTTTCAATTGCCACTCCCTTTGCATCTCTTGGGAATCTGTTTTCATTATATTTAATTCAGTTCAACTTAACCAGTGGTGTTGCCTGACTCTTAAAGATTCCTGCTTTGAGCCAGAGCTGGGGATTCTGAGGTGAATTAGACATGGACTTTGCCATTAAAATATTTACACTATACTAAAAAAATCAAGTTCATTGCTTGTATTATCTAAGCTACATGAAATGCAATTTAGGCTTAAACAGCAGTCATAATATCTTGGGGAAAACGAAAGCAAACAAACAAACAACAAGCAAAAAACATATACCAAAAAGTTTTGTCTTAGCAAAAGCACAAGGACAAGTTAAATTTTGCTCACAGGTGTGGAGAATGGTGTAAGGAGGTTGTGAAGAATCAGATAAGTCTGAAACAGAAATGATGTTTGTGCAAGAATGACCAGGGTTTTCTGGACAAAGAAGCTGGGGAACACGAATACTCCTCAGAATGAGTCACATGAACAGAGGACAGAGCTGATGGTGTACTTTGAGCATCATCAACAGTAGTCCCACAGCTGAGTGCAGAGTCCTTCATAGGGTAGAGAACAAAAATGAGGCTGGAGTTAAGGAGCTGTTAAACTGTGAGGTATCTGGGGTAGGTGTTGTGGAGCAGCAGGTTAAGATTCACTATGCGATGCCCACATTCTGTACTGGAGTGCCAGTTCAAATCCTGTTTACTGCACACTTTTGGCACACCTGGGAGGCAGTGGATGATGGACCAAGCATATGTATTACTGCTACTTATATGGGAGGACCCAGATAGAGTTATGGGTGCCTGGTAAACGGCAACCCTGATGTGAGCATTTTGGGGAAATGAACCAGCAAGTGGAAGATTCTATCTCATGCTCTCTCTCTCTTACACACACTCTCACTTTGACATTCAAACAAATAAATCTTTAAAAAATGGTGAAGGATCATGTACATTGGGTAAGGAATTTGGATTTATAAATGAAATAAGCTTGCAGGTTTTTGAGCAGAAGGAAATAGGAAAAAAGCTATTATGTGTTAGACTATGGAAAATTTGCAGAGGAAAAGTCATTAGGTGACAGGAAGGTCAAAGCACTAAGTAGTGCAGTGCAGAGTAGTAAAGCAGATTAGAATCGATATGGTTACTTTATTTTTTTAAACTTTTTTTTTATTTGACAGATAGAGTTAGAGAGAGAGACAGAGACAAAGGTTTTCTTTCCGTTGGTTCACCCCCTAAATGGTCACTTCGGCCGGCGCACCACGGCCGGTGCATCACACCGATCTGAAGCCAGGAGCCAGGTGCTTCCTCCTGGTCTCCCATGCAGGTGCAGGGCCCAAGCACTTGGGCCATCCTCCACTGCCTTTCCAGGCCACGGAAGAGAGCTGGACTGGAAGAGGAGAAACCGGGACAGAATCTGGCGCCCCAACTGGGACTAGAATCTGGGGTGCCGGCGCCGCAGGTGGAGGATTAGCCTAGTGAGCCACGGCACTGGCCCCAAGAATCGATATGGTTAGATTACTGATTGATGATGGGTGGAAGGAAAAGGCAGGAGGAAGAATCAGAAGTTTCTCAGATGGATTTTC